TGCTGCTGCAGCTGCTGCAGCAGCGGTAGGTTGCTTTGAACAGCTGACAGCAACAGACGCAGAGCTGCATGAGCCTGCAGCAGCCGCTGCTGCAGCAGCAAGTCACCCCCAGGCCCTAATGCTGCTGTCGCTGCTGCTGCAGCAGCAGATGCGGCGCTCAAGCCGTTGCAGAAGCTGCTTGGATTGTCGCTTACTGCTGCCGAGGCTGCTGCTGCTGCCTTTTCCTCAGCTGCAGCAGCAGCTGCAGCAGCAAACCCTGCTAACCAGTGCAACAGAGCTGCAATACGCATGCCTGCAGGAGCTACTTCCCGCTGCTGCTGCTGCTGCTGCTGCTCTCCCTGCCCTGCCAAGGGCAGCAAGAATGCTTCTGCTGAGGTGGCAATGCTCGAAATAGCCTCTTCCCCACTGTGCCGCTGCTGCTGCTGCAGCTGCAGCAGCAGCGGGTGAAGCTCAATGCTGCCAAGTGCTGCTATAGTTTGCCCCAGCAGCTGCTGCTGCAGCAACGCATTACCTGCAAGAAGCTGCAGCAGCCGCAGCAGCAGCAACAGGAGTTGGTTTTCTCGTGCTCGAGGCCAGGGACCCGCAGAGCCCGCAAACCCTACACCCTAAACCCTAAACCCTAAACCCTAAACCCTAAACCCTAAACCCTTAGCCACAGCCCTCCCCAATCTCCTCTTACCAAGTCTATCGAAGACAGCAGCACTTGCTGCAGCACGGAGTCGCCTGCTGAGAGGAGTGCCGCATGCACAAGAGACGAGAGCGGCTCCTGCTGCTGCTGCTGTTGCTGCTGCTGCACCGGGCACAACGCAGCAGCCGCTGCTTGGGGCCCAGCGCCTCTGGCAGCAGACACAAGCAGTTCCAGTGCCTCCACAAGAATTTGTTTGGTTGTGTGGCAGTGCTGGAGCAGCTGCTGTTGCTGCTGCTGCTGCTGTTGCTGCTGCTTCTGCAGCAGCCGCTGCTGTTGGTGCTGCAGCTGCAGCAGCACGGCAGCAAGCTCAGCAGCAAAGCGACAGCATGCATCTGGCAACCCCCACCGCAGCAGCGCCGCGCAGTTCTTGGCGAACTCTGCGGGGCTTATTCCTTCATTTTCTGCTGCTGCTGCTGCAGCAGCAGCTGCTGCTGCTGCTGCTGTGCCGTGCTGCAGTCGCATGAAGCCAAAGGGCAGCCCTGTGGCTCCCCCGTCGTCTGCAGAAGCAACTTCTTTGCATGCAACAAACTGCTGCAGCAGCAGCAGCAGCAGCTTTGCTGCCTTGCACACACTGCCTACGCCGCTGCGCCTGCTGCTGCTGCTGCTGCTGTTGATGCTGCTGCCTGCCTGCTGCTTCTCCGGAGTGCCTGCTGCAGTTGAGAATTCGCCGTGCAGCAGCTGCTGCTGCTCCCTGACAAGGTGCTGCAGCAGCTGCTGCAGCAGGAACCGCAGCAGCAGCAGCAGCTGCTGCAGCACTTGGGCTTCTCGCATGTACTTGCAGCCATACTCATCTGCTGCCAGCAGCAGCAGACACCGCAGGGCGGTTAAAGACTGAGGGGAAACAGCAACAAGGTTGCTGCTGCTGTCATCAGCAGCAGCAGCAGCAGCTGCTGCTGCTGCTGCTGGATTTGCTGCGTAGACGTCCGACAAAGGCGCAAAGCTCAGCTCGACGCCCAGAACCCTCAGCAGCGCCTCAAGGCCCCCCTGCAGCAGCAGCAGCAGCAGCAGCAGAGTGTGGGTTGAAGCAAGCTGCGTGTCGCATGTCTCTTCAGCTGTGCAGAAGCAGCAGCAGCAGCAGCAGCTGCATCTGCTGCTGCTGCTGCTGGCCCCACACCTCACCTGTATCGTGCATGCAGCCCTCAAGGGAGGCGACTGCTGCAGCAGCAGCTGCAGCAGCTGCAGCGCATTGGCCCTCAGGGCCTCTGCTGTGGGGCCCTCAGCCCCCAGTGCTGCTGTTAGCTGCTGCATGCAGCTGCCCCCCTGTGAACAGGCGTCGGCAACAGCTGCTGCTAGCGCCGGCTGCTGCTGCTGCTGCTGCTGCTGCTGTTCGTAGAGTTCCAGGCTGCTGCTGCACTGCAGCAGCCGACGCAGCAGCAGCAGACAGTCTAGCTGGAGCTCACTGTTACCCAGCTGCAGCAGCAGCACTAAGGCTTCACCGCCTCCCGTGCTGCAGCAGACACGCCGCAGCAGCAGCAAATGAGCAGCAGCAGCAGCCGCTGCTGCTGCTGCTGCGTTTTTGTCCATGGGAGACAGGGCTGCAGCTGCTGCAGCGCCTGCAGGAATGCCCGCAGAAGCAGCAGCAGCAGCTGCTGCTGCCAGCCGCTTGTGTCGAGCTTCCGCAGTGCCTGCTGCAGCATCGTTGCTGTTATTGCTGCTGCTGCCTGCGCTTTCCTCTGCTGCTGTTGCTGCTGCTGCTGCGGGTGGCCCCTGCTGCAGCGCAGCAAACACATGCAAATCTTCCGCCGTTTCGAAGGCGCTGGCCCACTCTGCTGCTGCTGTTGCTGTTGCAGTCGCTGCTGGTGCTGCTGCTGCTGCTACAACGGCGCCAGCAGGCACCGCGGCGTCCTGCTGCTGCTGCTGCAGCAGCTGCTGCTGCTGCTCAACAATCATGCTAACAAGAGGCGGCGGTTCGCACAGCAGCAGCAGCACTTCTAGAGCTGTTTGAATTGCTTCTTCTACGGCGGGTGAGGCCGTGCTGCTGCTGCTGCTGCTGCTGCTGCTGCCTGCGGCGGGAGACCGCAGCAGCAGCATGTTGCAGAGCAGCTCAATGCTGTGCTGGTGAGACCCCACAGGAGTCAAGGGCCCCATCTTTGCTGCTGAGGGGGTCCATTGCTGCTGCTGCTGCTGCTCCGTGGTTGCCTGCTGCAGATGCTGCCGCTGCAGCTGCTTGCACAGCAGCAGCAGCTGCTGCGCGATTTGCTGCAGCTTAGCAGCAGCAGCATCGTCGACCTCAATGATCTGCGCGCGCTGCAGCTGCGACAGCCCAAGCTGCCCTTTCCCCCCAGCCCCTGCCCCCCCCCCTGCTGCTGCTGCTGCTGCTGCTGCTGCTGCTGGCTCTGGCAGCAAAGGCGCAAAGCCAGACTGCAGCCGCCCCAGCAGCGTGTCTGCCTGCAGCTGCGCCTCGAGGGCCCCCAGCCTGCCCTTGACGTTGCTGTTGAGTTTTTGAAACAGCCGCAGCGCCATTGCTGCTGCTGCTGCTGCTGCTGCTGCTGCTGCTGCTGCGGCTGCGGCTGCTGCTGCGGCGGCGGAGGCTTCACAGACACCCCATAATAGCGGGAAAGCCAAACCCTCCAGCGCCGCGAGTCGGCAGCGCCGACACAAACCCTAAGCCCTAAACCCTAAACCCTAAACCCTAAAACCCTAAACACTCAATACTGGAAGTTAGGTAGGGTTCCAGGATGAAGAGAGCGCGCAGATGCTGGAAGCGTCGCTAACAGAAGAGCCGAGCTAGTGTTTAGGGTTTAGGGTTTAGGGTTTAGGGTTTGCCGCTATGGGGGCTGCAGTCGGCCGCCAGCGCTGCATGCAGCTGTCTCTGCAATAAACTGTCTTCTGACCTTTTTCAAGCTCAATAATTAGGATTTAGGGTTTAGGGTTTAGGGTTTAGGGCTTGAGGTCGAGCTTCTAGGGTTTAGGGTTTGGAGTCACTCCAGGGTTCCTTCGAGCGCCCCCCAGAATGTTCAGGCTAAAGTTTAGGGTTTAGGATTTAGGGTTTAGAGCTACGTTTATCTGGTGGTTCTTCTGTTGCTGTTGCTGCTGCTATTGCTGCTGTTGCAGCTTTTGCTGCCGGTGCTGCCATTTTTTGCGAGAGCGCTAGCAGCTATTCCTGCTGCTGTTGCCAGCAGCGGCGACAGCAGCAG